GAAAACCCCCCCAAAAAAAAAAAAAAGAACCCCTGAGAAGAGAAGCAGTGAGTGTCAGGGCGCCCTCCCAGGCTGGCCCAGGGTGTCGCAGAGGAGACGCATTGTCTGAGCAGCAGCTTCCCCCATTACCACACGAGCCTCCCTGTCCGACCAGGAAAGGCCCATGTGCTCCCACACACTGACCGCCAGAAGCAGACCTTCTCTGTAGGTGGCAGAGAAATGGTCCAGGAGGTTATGTCCCCTAGAAAGGAGCAAATGGCGTTGTTTCCTGCACCCGAGGTCGCCGGTGTGCCTGTGCCAGATGGACTGCTGTGTCTGCCACGGCCGCCAGCAGGGCATTGGCTTCGGGCCAGCCGCCGCCTCCTGCTCTGTGCAGTGGCCTCTGGGCTCACCGCCCTTCCAAGCCCTGCACCTCTGCAGTCCCGTGGAGCCCCTGCTTGCTGTACGGCCCTGGGAGGTGTGTTATTTAGACAGAACGTGAAGTGTCTGACGCAGGGCAGGAGAGGCTTCGGGTAGCTCTCCGAAGACTGCCGCGTACACTCAGGTCCTTGCCGGTCGGCATGGAGGGTGGGGAGCTGGTGCTTCCTGAGCAGAGGGACCACCTGGCTAGAGTGATGAATGAACGGCGCCTTCGAGGGCTCTGGAGCAGGACGCAGCAGCTGCAGGAGGGCCGAGGGTGCTGCTGGAGCTGGCAGGGTTTGGGCATGCAGAGGAGCAGCTGCAGGAAAAGCATGTGGGCAGAGAGACCTGGTGGGGACGGAGACGCCTGTTCTGCTTGAGGCCGGCCGCGAGTTTCTGTGGCCAGAGGAGCCCTGTCGCGAGGGCTGTGTCCAGCTGGGAGCTCCAGTTGCTCTTTGGCAGCAGAGCCTCCTGACGTGTGTGTGTCAGCCTTGAGGGAATGTGCATGCTTCTCCATCAGCCCGCTCTGGCAGCGTGGGTCAGAGAGGGGGCTGGAAGCAGGGGGCCGCTGGGGTTCAGGACAGACCTCAGATGGGGCATCTGTGTGTCTACAGCCCCTCTGGCTGAGCCTGGGACAGCGCTAAAGACCTAGAAGAGAGTGAATGTCGCTTCCTCCTGGGCAGCCTGGGTGGGCACCTGCTGGCTGAGACCCCCTGACCCAGGGCCTCATGTGCCAGCTGCCCTTCCCCACAAACACAGCTGGGGTTCCCAGGGCCTCGGCTCTGGCGGTTTCTGTGTCCTTCCTGTGCTCATTCAATATACTTAATCCTGGGTGAGGCATCCGTCTAGCTTCTAAACAGCTGTGTTAGAAGGGCCTTGATTTTCACTTGCAGAGTGATTTCAAAGTGGGTTTTGGGATCTGTCTCTGGGAAGCCCAAG